CTGGTTCTGCTATATATTCTATAGGTGTTATTTTAGCCCTTTTAGTGCATACAAAAGTTTGTAATGAGTCTTGGATAATTTCTTAGGGATTCCAAATCCCTGAGAACTAGTATAGATGCAGAGAGGCTCTTTTACTCCTTAATTACTGGTTAAGCTTGTTGTATACTAGATTTTGATACTGTATCTCCCCACTGGACCACCACCACAGCCTTGCTGGGGCCCATTATGTCCTGACATCTATCCTTGCTCTGAAGTGACCAGGAGCATCAATTTTCTTGGTGCCTTTCTGTGTATGATGCACAGCCTAGCACAGTGGGTAATGCCTCATTTGCACCACTGGAGTTCTGCTGCTAATTTAATTAAAATTGCCACATCCCTCACATGTGCTCTCACTAGTTTGGTCTCTGCTCATGAAACTCTGAATTTATGCTAGCCAAGTTTTATCTTCTCCCCAAATAGCACAAGTCATGTAATGACATCTGGCTGCATCTTGGTCACATAATATAGACATTGTGAGCTGCTCTTTGATTAAGAGAGCAGAATGTGCTACAGGCTGCCACAGGCTGCCAAAACCAAAAAGTAGTTATGGGAACTGCAGGTACACAATACCTATGTGATGTCCCACACCCACTGCTATTATTCCTACTGGTGATCTTTGGGAGAGACATTAATGTCAATGGCTCCAACATTTGGCCACTTGCAGAGGCAGCAGAGTGCTGTGCTGGGGCAGGGATTGCACCCACCAAGGGGAGGAGATGAGTTTTGGGGTAGGTAGTGGCAAAACCTCTGATCCAAATTAGACAGAGGGGAGAACACCCACCACCAGATTCTGGGGTTTGAGCCAGGTAAGATATAGAAGGTCCATAAGAAGCAGGCCCTGCAGAGGGGGAATGGTGTTTTTTATCATGCCAATTGTCCTCCCTTACACTTCTGACTTAGATGTAAATCCCCACACCTTGGGGAGGGTCACATTCACACGCAGGCCTGAAGGTATTTATCCCTTCTGATGGGGCATAACTGGCTCAGCTACATGAGGTGCAGCTATCCTATCTTAGAAGGTGTCATAAACTATCAAAGACCCCCCAAAGCACCCCCAGACTCATTTCCTAGTCCTTCCACTGAAGGACTCCATGTGATCCACAGTGTTGCAGCAGAGCCTGAGGGTGCTGCAGAAGACAGGGTAAAACTGAGTGCTGGCACCAATAAAACAGGTAAAGCTTGTAGCTCTGGTGAGAGCTAAATTGGTTCAACAGGAATGTCATGGAGCTGCAGTGTCTTCTCACATTGTTACAGACCAGGTCTCTTCACACTACTCCATAAATGATGTGTCTTGAATGTGATCCTGAGGGAATATCCCAGTATGTCTGGTGCCTCTATCTTACAGCTCATTTAAGCAAACCAGCATCTACATTACAAGTTAAAATGAGCCTTGAGGTCTTGCATTAAGGAATAGCACTGCTAATTTAGGAAGGCAAGAAGGGCAGTGTAATGTAGTGCACTGATCAGCACATTGACTCCTAGCAACCTTTACCAGAACATGGCTGGGAACTTCCAAGATTTGTTGTGGGAACTTTGAAAAAAACAAACAAGGGTGATAACTTAGAGATTTCACTGCCGCTCCCACTAGTTGTGCAAGTAAGCGAATAAGAGAACTACTGTAGGCTGGAAATTTCCAGGATGATACATTGCATGGTGCAATCATTGCCTATTGCATTTGCTGTGTGTTATTGCTGTCTAAGATTCTCACCTTTTCACTGTAATTAAATATCCCAGTAGAGGGAAAAAGAGAAAGTTCTGAACTTGTAACTTGTTTTCAGACAGTCAGCAACCCCAGAGTCTCTGTAAACACAACACACTGGCTGGCACCTGTCTCCTGTTTTCTCATCTAAGCACAGGCCATGAACAAAGTTACTTCTTAAAAGCTGGCTTGGAAAATAGGAAGCCTGGGCTCTGTATTTTGTCATAATTTTTAATATTTCCTTAGAACAAAAGGAGCATAAGGCTAGGGCCAAAATTGCTTTCAGTAGCAAACATACAGTTTGCAGGTGTGGGCAGAGTTTAGCCTAAAATAACTGGAGGCAAAAGAAGGGAAAAAACTGCTTAAAAATGTGGTGTCAGCAGGAGAAAATAGACTCTGTGGGGCACTGGTTTTCTAAAGCCTTGTTCTGTAATCAACACAGCTCATTACTGTAGCTGCGTGCAATGCTGCAAATGACATTTGGATGAACACATTCTGTCTTTCCACCACACTTGCTAGTTAACAAATTGTCTGCCCAAATTGCTGAACCATGAGTATTGTGTCAAAGAAGAGGAAAGCAGCAGACTCCCTTTGTCAGGGTGCACAGGCTGTACCAAAGTCTCAGTCACTGATTTCCAACCTTCTTCTGTTCAGACCCCTAGGAATTCTGCTGTGGAGGTACAGGACTTTGTATAGATGCCTGTTCCCCCTGCAGTGATAATCATATTGCTTTCTTTTCCCTCACAGGCCACAGTGTACACCTGAGCCTGAGGTCTGCAGAGCACAGTTTGGAAATTGGTTTCCCAAGCAAAGGTACTGTTTCACTTTGTTCTTTTTTAAACAAAAAGTCACTTTCTCGTAGTATCTCAGTTCAGTCCATAAATATACTAATGTTATTACTGCAATGCATGGGACAGTCCATCCTGCAATCAAGATCACAGAAGGAAGTGACCACATATCTGAGATCAGCCAGCAGCATGTGACTGCACAGCACACTGCAAGGCACATCACAAGTTCTGGGTCCCATCCAAATTCACTTTGGAGTCTCATCATGGGATTAAGGCAGTGGAACTTCTATCTCACTTGAGGAGGAGAAAGAAATGAGAAACAGAATGGGTTTATAAATTATATCGCAAAGGTTTTGGGAAAGAGGGTGAACTTTAGGGTTTTGAATATCTTTTATTTAATATTTTTTGTGGTTGCCCAGGGTGGCTGAGGAGTCTCTGTCCTCAGAGATATTCAGAACCTAACTGAACAAAGCCTGCTCTGGGTAGCCTTGTTAGAGGTTGGACAAGATGGTGTCTGGAGCTCCCTTCCAACTGCAGCCAGTCTGTGATTGTATGGTTCTGAAATTTAAATATTTTCTTCCAATTTTCTGAGAGAAGAATGAGCTGAAAGAACAGAAGGGAAAGTCAACAAAATCTTTCCCTTTATCAGCCCAATAGCATTAACTTCTATTAACCTTTCTAACCACTGCCAACCTTGTCAACCTGAGCAATCCCAATATGTCAGTTGGATTTTATCAGCACCAAAGATAATTCTTCAGGCTACTTCTGAGGTTTTCCTCAGTGAGGAAATATGGGGGGCAAGGAAGAAGCACAGATGCACATTCAATCCCTATGGGGTCAGGATTTGGCAAAACAAACCCAGGACCTAGGACACGTGCTGGCATGTTTTATGTAGATGCAAGTTATATCTGCATGGGTGAGGAAACTGTGTCATACTCATAGAGAAATGTGTGGGAATAGGTTTAGTAGCCATGCTGAACAGCTGCTCATATTTAAAAGAAAGGACAAGGGTTTAAATGGAACCTTCACATGACGCAGGTTAGCCTGTACAAAATTATGTTTGCGTTTGTAAGGCTGGGTTTTAGGAGTCCCAGGCCTTTGGTTGTATCCATGCACTGACTCATCACTGCTTCTGTCATTTAAGGCCCTTTGTTACCCAGTGCCATTTTCAGCATCAAGCTCTGCACCAGCAGATGATACCCAAAAGCAGAGCTGGCTAAAAGCATAGGCAAAATAGGCAAATGTCTTGCTTAGAGCTTGCTGGGGAGAAGCTGATGCCCTCTTCTCTCATGTTACCTGTCTGTGCTCTCCCAAAATTTCACAGACTACTGCTAGCCCTACTCCTCCTTCCCTCTGCTTGTGCTGCAAGATTTAATTTTGCATTTCTGAGGGAATGAAACTCAGTTATGCCAGACTGCTGAGGATCATAGAGCTAGCTCTGGAGACAGGCTGGACCAGCTCAGAAATGGGTCTGCTCAGCATCAGGGCTGGCCCAGGGAGGAGAAGGGCCATGTACCCAGGGACAGGAGAGGGGTAAGGACACAGCCTGAAACAGGACCTTTTAGTAGTGGTTAGAACCACTCAAATTGATGTTTAGCTTCACCTCTAAACCCATGTTGTTATCTACCTGGAAGCACTCAGGAGTTAGATAAGGCTTTACAAAATTATTTGGAGGTATTCTCAGTAAAGGGCTGAGGTTTCTAGACTGTTTTAGGCAGCACTTATCATGTAAGTGCAAGGCTGCAATTCTGAGATTTGATGCTTTGTTCCCTAACCCAGGAGATTTCCATACTTGAGACATGGTTACTTATTTACTTCAGAATTATTCAGTGGCCCCTAGTCATGCTCCTGTGGGGTCTGCTCCCTTCCTGATGGGCTAGGCAGGGATTTGTCACTCACTATCTATTGCTAACACACAGTGATTCATGCTGTTAAAACACTGCTAAGTGCCAAGAACTGCCTTAATCCAATTTATGGTCTAAAATTCTTATGGCACACATTTCCCAAGTCTGAATTGTATGTGTTAGAGAGGAGACATATAGCAAAAGAAGAAAAAAACAAAACATATAAACAACAGGTTGTTTAAGCTAAAACAGCCTTTGCCATCCTCTAGTCTAGTACTGGACTTTTCCAGCCATGTATAACTGTGGTTCCACGCAGCTCTCCATGCTGCCAGATGAATCAGCTCCTATCTGGTAATGAAGTATTACATGTATTACATTTACACAACATGTAAACATGACCGGCTAAGTCCTATCACATGTGTCCCAGAGGTTTATAGTGCAATTAGTCAGAGGAAAGTTGAAAGTGAAGTAAAAAAGAACATTTATAGATGGAAGAGGAAATGGGCAACACAAGATGCAGAAGTGGAAAGGCCTAATATTCCTTCCCCCACCTCAGACAGACACACATAAATAGTGAGAGAGTGAGTTCCCCTGCTCACTGGCCACCACTCATTTGCTGCATCTCTCTGGGACGTGCATCACCCCTGCAGGATGTGGGCAAAGGTACTGTCTTGTTTCCTTGCACTGTAAGATGCAATTCTCTATTCAAGCTTTTGTATCCTCACTGCAAATGTTGCAGTTGGTGACCACCACACCATGGGATATGGAGTTCACCTGCTTTAATCTGCTTGTAACTGCTCCCTTGGGATAATCTTAATGCTTCACTGCAGGTGTGAGTGAGAACTTGTTTGTAATGGTGGGTACAATTCTGGTCACTGTGGTGGTGTTTGCAGGGTGAGGGAAGAGATGAGAATCTTGACTCCGTGTTTCAGAAGGCTAATTTATTATTTTATGATATATATTATGATAAAAGAAAATGATGTACTAAAACTATACTAAGAGAAAAGAGAAAAAAGACACCAGAAAGCTAGCAAAAGAAAGGAATAGAATGATAATAAAGTCCTGTGACTGATCAGAGAGTCTGAGACAGCTGGACTGTGATTGACCATTAATTAAAAACAACCACATAAGACTAATCAAAGATGCACCTGTTACATTCCACAGCAGCAGATAATTATTGTTTACATTTCATTTCTGAAGCTTCTCAGGAGAAAAGATCCTATCAAAAAGATTTTTCATAAAATATGTCCATGACAGGTCACCATTGCTAGAGAAAGAGGAATGCAGTGTGAACAGCGCAATGGAAATATATGAGCATGGTAGGGGTGAGTCCATATTGTAGAGGAGAGAACAGCAGAGTTTGGTTTGTTTACCTCAGCTAAATGAAGCTAAATGATGGTATTGCCAAAAGGCAATATCATCACTCTGTGTGGACATGTACAGGGGAGTAAAGGAAGGGCAATGAAGAGTGGAAACAAAAGGAGACAATTTACAAAGAGAGAGAAAATATTCACTACTGCCAGTAGAAAAAAGAAACTGTTTCTTTTTTAGGTTGTAAATAATGTGTACCTCTACACGTTATTTCTAATGATCCAGGAAGTGGGACATTTCTAATGGTCCAGGAAGGGAAGTTTGACATCATTTTCTGAAACAGATACTAACAGCAGCTCACAGCCAAGAAGGAGGTTGAATTTGCATAATGGGTCATTGCTCAATAGGAGAGGAAAATAAATATATATAATTCCCAGATCAGTAGGATCCAGGAAGAAGGAGACACTGCTTTTCAAAGAGGCAAGACCTTGTCTTAGAGAAAAGCTGGGACTCCAGCTGAGAGTGAATTCAATGGGAGCTGGGAGCTATGAGCAGTATGTGCAAGGTAGGGCTGCCAATTCCTGCCTCCTACTGAGCTCCAAGCTCAGCAAGATTTGGGATAGTAAGGCTGCCAATCAGGGAGATTAAATCTTGCCTTCTTGTGTGGTAGTGGGTGCACTGGCTTGAAATGATTTCCCACTGATTTCAATACCAACAAGTAGGTGCCATGGGAAAGACAGATGTTTTTACTTCTGTTTGGGGGATGTGTGTGTGTGAATAGTCATTAGAGATGGAGATGAGATGGGGATGAGATAGAGATGATAATCTTGCATAGTTAGAGCACCTGCAGTGCATACTCTCAAGGGCTAGGGGAGAAAGCAGAAGAAATACAGAATAGAAAAGGATAATGATGAATGCATAAGTAAAATATAAATAACACAGTGGTGTTTCTCGGAATAAAAAGAGGAAGAACTCAAACCTTGGCTTTGCTGATGCAATTTAGGGCAGAAATGGCCAGTGTGTTACACAGTAGCCCAAAAACTGAAAGGATAAAAAAAGAGGAAAGAAAAAAAAAAAAGAGGAAAGAAAATAGAGTGTTTACTTTAAATATAGAGAAATATCTACTTCTTCTTTATTTTTTCCCTTTCCAGACAGTTACAGGAAATTTTGCCAAGGTGATTCATGGTTTGAATGCAAATCAGTTGACAGATCAAGTAATTCAGAGAAGTAAGCGAATGATTCTGGATACTCTTGGAGTGGGGCTTCTGGGTACCAGCACTGAGGTCTTCCACAAAGTGGCACAATACAGCAAGGTAAGCTGCCTGGCATTCATAGCACACCCTAAGGTTTAGCTTTAAGAAAGCAAGGGAAAACTTGGGCAATGAAAAGGAAATTTTGCCATGGTGAAATTCTTTCACGGATGGAAAGAGAGAAATCGTGTTCTTCCCACTGGAGACAGTGAAACTTCAGTGCTTAAATTACTTTTCACTCTGGATGGGCAAAAGTCTGTGTATCAGTCTGTATGCTAAGATCCCCCTCTACAAACACAGTCAACTAAGAACCCCTTCCTTTCTTTCACCTGTGATATCTCATTAAAAACATCAACAAAGTAAGCATCACTTATCACCAGACTTTCAAATCAAGGAACTGTTAAAGAGATGGGGAGTTAGGAGTGGGTTACTTGCAGTCCATAAAACATAATTGTCTGAGGTGTATTAGCCATGCTTCTCCTCCCAGTCTTGCTCTCCTCAAACTAGCAGAGAAATTGACCCTGAAAAGAAGCCTTTCCCAGCACAGGAGTGCATCAGTGAGGAGGAGTTCAGTCCACTGTTTCAGCATTCAGGCCTGCCTGGGTGGACTTGTGCTCCAGAGCTCTGTGTGCCAGTTAGTCTCTTCCCACAGAGAATTCCCCTTTCCAAACCAGGGTAGTTTATGCCCTTTTATTCAGTTTGCAGCACCAGGAGGCCATCTATCGTTTACTCAGGCTCTTACTAAAACACAGAAAACAAAACCCTTTAATGAGACATCTTCCCCAACAAGATGATGACAGTCCCATATAATTTAGGTTGGACTTGATGATCTCAGAGGTTTTTTCCAACCCAACTGATACTGTGATTCTGTCAATGGGTGGTGAGAAGGGGCATCAGTGGCCAGGGGTTGTGTGAAGGTACTGAGTACCAGGTGGGTGGTGTTGGTCTGCCCCCGAGCTCTGCTTGGGTGGGATAGGACATAAGCCAACAGGAAATTTACTTCCTTTTCAGACTTTCTGAAAGAATAATATTTTTCTCATAAAAGGGAGCAGTTAGATCCCCAGAGGACATGATCTGCTCTCAGTTACATCAGAGATACAATGCACATTTATCCTTAGGTTCAGGACTTTGAATTAATTTGTGTCAATTTGTTTCAGATCTACAGCTCAGATTTATCCAGTACCATCTGGGGCCACTTGGATTTCCGACTGCCTCCTCTGTATGCAGCTTTTGTGAATGGAGTGGCTGTAAGGGATGCTCTTTTATTTGCTCTGAAATCATACCAATTGATGCCGTTCTTGCTCTGTAGAGAACAAATGTCCCAAAAATCATAGCTTATTCTGAAGCCTGCTACAAAACTTTTCTAGACTATTCTCCTAATGTGCTACAACTTCCTTCCAGTGAGTTTGAACTTAAGGTATAATATATGTATGATCCAACTCAACAGCATCCCTTATATTTAATGTGGGACCTGGGGCTGTTGTCAAGTGTCAGAACTCTACCTCTTAAAACCTGGCAACCTTGTAGCAAGGCTACAACCTTGCTGTAGCTGCTTAAAAACACACCCTCTAGCTCATTTCACTGGGATCCGAATTTCTTGCCAGCTGGCAAAGTACAGTTACAGAAAAACACAGATGCACATATAGATACATACAGACATAATATCACAAGGCAACTTAATCTTCAGTTACACAGTTTCCAAAAGCCAGTGATATATTTTGGACATGCACTTTGTCATTAAAGCAATAACTGACTCCCCAGACGTTTGTCTAAATTCAGATTGAGGCTGAAACTGTTTGAAATTGAAAGATGCACAAGAGGTGGGGTAGACAAATTTGGCAATTATGCAAAACTAGGAAAGGTGACCAACCAAGGAAATAGTAATATTAAGCCTATTTAAATTAGTGTGACAACAATATCAGAGGTCCAATTTAACAGCTCATTTCCAATGTAGAGAAAATTACCTTGGAAATGAGATCTGGTACTGCTCCTAGCAGCCCTTATGATATTCAGATCTGGCTGTTAGCATATATATGATCAGTTTATATCTTGGTCACAGGTCAATTTAAGCACTTACTGAGGACACCAGAAACACAGCTTACAGGGTATTGGCCACAACTTTCCTTATCCTGCACTGCAGGGCATCTTCCCAGATGGCATCAAAGGTTTACAAGGGAGACATTGTGTTTTCTTCTATCTGTTTAGAAACAGTCCTCAAAAATGCAGAATCACAGTATAACAGGGCAAAACCTGACTGCTGGGGAGCCTGACCAGCTTCCCAGTTTGCTCTGAAGTTAAAACATGGGCGAACAGATGTGAAAGTTCAGGTTTTTGAGGTGTTTTACTATGCTATATTAAAAAAATGCTGTCCCTGATGCTCTCAGGTCTTTGGGGTTCTCAAAACTTTGCAGGAGGAAGGAATGTGTGTTATAAGCAATGCATTACAGACACTGACTGCACTTTTGGGGACAATCTGCTGCCAGATCAGCAGCCATATGCCATGCTGGGAACACCTAAAACCTTCCTGAGCAGCTGGGCTCTGGGCATGAGAAAGAGAAGGCACCTTTTGGGTTACTCTCTTGGCCAAACAGCTCGTTCAACATTCACACTGTAGCTTTCTCCTACACCCAGAAACTCCAGGAAATCTGGTTTCTTGTGTGACAGGTCTAGTTTCAGTGTGCTTAAAATTCACAAAATAAAGCCTCCTGTACATTTTCAGGCTTGTGCCTCTTTACAGTAGATGGTTGCAGCAGAAAAATAGCTCTGATGATATAAATTCCATTTAGCAGTATTTAGCTGCTACAGTTTTATGGTGTGAGTCCTAATGGCAGCATCGGTTGCAGCACCAGGGAAGGAATTTCATTGTGTTTATATTTCATTATGTTTTGGGGAAAGAGAAAATTCATGTTCACATGGTAGACCTAGAATAGCTGCTTTAATTATACCAGTCTAATGAAAGCAGCAAAAGCCAACTGCAGAAAAAAGGAATCACTGTCACACCGGTTTCAGGCTGGTACAAGTTGAATTATTCTCCTCTGAGGAAAGATCTCTGCTGCATTGCCATTTCTCAGACAGCCATGATGGGAGTAAAGGTCTTTAAAAGACTTTTGAAATTTTTGCTTTCTAAGATCTAGTTCTTTGGCACTTTTTAATACCAGTTGCAGTAGTTTCATTTGACTGAGGCAACCTTGCAAAGTCAGAGTTTATTTCTAACATACCAGTGCTTCTCTTTCCATTAGGTGCACTCAATGGACTTTGATGACACCTGGCATCCAGCCACACACCCATCTGGGGCTGTGCTCCCTGCATTGATTGCACTCTCAGAGGCTTTCCCTCAGAAGAAAAAAGTCTCGGGTCTTGATCTGCTCTTAGCTTTCAATGTGGGAATTGAAGTGCAAGGCAGGTTGCTGCACTTCTCCAGAGAAGCCAGGAATATTCCAAGAAGGTACATAGAAATGTTTAAAGTAGAAATTGGAGTGGAGGTGGTTTTTTATCAGTGCTAATATACATAATTAAATGTCACTTAACATACAGGTGGCACAGTTATTCAGATTTCCTAAGCTGTTTGTTGGAAATTTTGGGAAGGCTCATCTTACACATAAATACATTTGATTCCTAACTCTGTAGCTAATAGATTTTTTTTAAAGCATTGACTAATTCAGAATTATGCAATGATCTCCCTACTTTGCATTTTTATAGATTTAGAATAATATCTAAATTTAAATAATAATAAATATAACTTTATATTTAGACTATAAATTTGCTTTAAACTATGAGCAGCACTAATGTTTCCATTGCTTTCTGGGAAGGACTTACTACTGCAAGCAGCACTATTCCAGTTTTACTTTTTCCTGGGGAAATGTGACAACTCTCAGTTAGGCCCACACATGAATGCTGAATGTATGTTTCTTTATGGTCCAATCCACTTCCCATGGCAATGAGTGAAAAGCTTTTGTAGATAGTGAATTTGGTTGAGTTTTTGAAATCAGGTAATGAAGATACTTTTGTTTTCTCAGGTTTCACCCACCAGCTGTGGTTGGTACGATGGGGAGCGCAGCAGCTTGTGCTAAACTGCTAGCTCTTGACCAGCTGGAATGTAAAAATGCCTTGGCTATTGCTGCCTCCTATGCAGGTGCCCCACTGGCTAATGCAGCAACCCAAATAAAGCCTCTCCATGTTGGGAATGCTGCCAGGAATGGACTGGAAGCAGCTTGCTTAGCTTTACAGGGCCTTCAAGGAAACAAACAGATCTTGGACATGGAGTCAGGGATGGGTGCCTTTTATACAGATTACAACCCACAGACTCTGCCAACCTTGCAGTCCTACCCATGGCTCTTGGACCAGCAAGATGTGGCCATCAAACGCTTTCCTGCTCATCTTGCAACACACTGGGTGGCTGATGCAGCATCTTCTGTTAGGAGGAAGCTCGTGGAGAGCAGTGAGAACTTGCTCCCCCTTGATAAAATCGAGAAAGTCATTCTCAAAGTCCCTGAGGTCAAATACGTGAACAGAGCCAGCCCAGCCTCAGAGCACGAAGCACGACACTCCTTCCAGTTTGTTGCGTGCTCGGCTTTGCTGGATGGCAGCATGTCAGTCCAGTCCTTCGCCAGTGAGAACATTCACCGGCCCGCCTTGAGGGAGCTCCTCTGCAAAACACAGCTGGAGCACCCTCCTGACAACACGCCCAGCTTTGACAGCCTGTACTGCCAAGTGAGTGTCGCTCTTCGGGACGGCAGCACCATCAGCGACCGCTGCGCTACCTTCTACGGGCACTGGAGGAAACCTCTGGAAAAGGAAGACTTGGAGAAAAAGTTTCAATCCAATACGCTCGACATCCTACCCACAGAAGCCATGGAAGGCATTATAGACACTGTGTACAACCTGGAAAAAGTAGAGGACTGTTCTGTATTAAGTACATTTCTATCAGGACAGTCTGCTAGAGTACTTCCAGAGAAGCTGCGCTTCCTTTGAGTGTTCCAGCCAACAGCTACATGCTCTTCACAAAGCCAATGCAAAATTCAGGACAAACTTTTACTTTGTGATTCAAGCACTTTTAAATAACACAAGAACATAATCCTGTAACGCAAGAACCATATTCAGTCCAATATTGTGGGTTTTGATTAGGTAAATAATTTGGTGTTTATGTGCCCAGCTTACCAGGCTGAACAGAAGATCCTCTGCTGGCACAGCTGACCCCAGCTCTCTTTGTACCTCTAGAGGCAGAGCACTCACTGCTTGCTCACGGCACAAAAATCTCCCTGCTCCTCTGCCAAAAATCTGTGTTCTGCTTCTCCTAAATAACTCCATACAGAAAATCCAAATTCTGGAAGAGTATGGAAGTGCTGTGTCCATGAAAATCATCATGGTTAGAAGTACAAAGAATGAAAATCTTTTAATATTTATTTCTGTAGATTTATCTCTACAACCTCCTTGAAGAGGGAATCTGTTATGTCTGAATGTTGACATTTGTGCTAAAATAAACACAGCACACGTAGGGAGGGGTAGCACTCCCTACTCTGCAGCACGTCAGGTGTCACTGTAGCCATTGCTCTTGCACTGAGGCAGCAAAGGCCTGGGCCCAACCTGATCACAGGAGTGCTGAGCATGAGGGACAGCTCCACACTCCTCATCATAAAGGCATTACTGCCCAGGTCCACCTGCTGGCTCCTCTGTGGTACAGGTCTGCTCCTGTTTCATTCCTGCCCCAGTTACATGAGACACTGAGCAGGTGATGGCAGTGTAGGTTACTTCAGGCCCAGCAGAGTGTGGGCTGCACCACACTGGGCAGGAGTGACAGACCTGTGAGCACCACAGCACCTCTTACCAGAGACAACTCAGTGAACCCAGATCATGAATTCTGGGAATTTTTGGTTCCTCCAGGAGTACAAAGCCTTGCCAGACTGAGCTTCTAAGAGAAGCTGCCAACCCTTTGTTCACATTTATTAAATCAAAGCATGGTTTCTAATACATATAAAATTATCTTCCTCGGGACAATAAACAATGTATGCAAAAAAAATTTTACAAAATAAATCTAATTCGTTTTACTAAATAAATCTGAAATTACTTCATTTATTAGCACAAAACTTTAGTATTTTCCACTGGCAATGCATTCATTTGTGCTGCATCTTGGTTTATAAAGTTGGTTTACCTTGGGGCTCTTCAAAAATTTTGGAAGTCCATCAGTAATACTTGCTTAAAGACTTGCAAGAGGAAAAAAGAATCCAAATAACCACATTCTTTTATTTTTCTCCTCTGATTAGAAATCAGAATTGAATTATTCACCTATACTGATGATAAACAGACTCATTTACAGCTACTTCACTTGTAATTGCAGCTGGGTACATCGCAATTGCAATTGCAGCTGAATACATTTGGATTCATTAAAAAACAAAACAAAACAAAAACAAAGGAACTCCTCCCATCACCTTCAATATATGGTTTCTATTTTAAAAGAGAAATAAATAGGTTAAATTCAGCAGTAACCATCTGATGTATTAAATATTAAAAAACACCCCACCACACCAAACAAACCAGGAACTGTGAAGTTTAGCAGTTGCATTATTTTATTAATTCAATCTAAGGAAGCTAAATGTTTATGCTTAGCTACACTGATTTCCTTGGAGAAGTCTGTACACTTCTAGTCAGGCAAGCTTCAGGACTTCTTGTACCATTGTTCCAATTCCATCAAAGATTTCGTGCAGAGGAGCTTTGCACATGAAAGCACAGGTAGTAACTATTTTATTTGCTTTATCCACGTGGGATTCATTTACATTTTTGCAAATGTGCTTACATCCAAGCTCTGCTATAGCAGATGCCGTTTCAGCATCAGGAAATCTGTAAATAAAAAGACTTTAATTAACATAAAGGAATGATACAGCCATAAAATTCTGCATACATAACTTGAATGAGAGAACTACAATAATATCTATGTGAGTCTTTAACTGATGATGACAAGGGAGTTAGAGACTGCTACTATCAGATTTTCCTATCCCCTATGGACATATCAAGTGATCTAATACCTTCAAAAACAATGTCTGAAATATGAAGCCACAATATGTCAGAAGGTACAACACTTTTTAATAATCTTTCAGTAAGTTTGGAAGATGATACCAAGTGCAGTTATAACTGATCTTTAAAAGGTTGAGAGAAGCCAGCTGAACTTGCAACCCTTTCCAATACCTCCATGTAAGGTGTTCCTCTGGGATCTCTAGAGATTTTGATTTTTTTCCCCCTTCTGATAAAGGAGGAACAGATTGCAATCTGTTCTGAACAGAATCCCCCACTGCGGCTGCTGATACATTTAATTCATAAGTTTTATTGGGAGTTGACAGTTCTTGAAGCAGTACTGATTTCTGCCAGGCCCTGTTCTCATCTCCATCCCCTAAAGTGGCCCCAAACCACTACCACTAGAAAAACTTTACTAAAAATCCCTGAGTTAGCAGTTGGAGTTGCCCATCCTAGAGGACTTTTCCAACCTAAACAATTCTATGTTATCACAGATCAGTGTATATCTGGTTGTAGCATCACAAATCACCTGACCTCATGGATTCACTCTGCCTGCCCTGAGAGTTCTGTGCCTATTACTATTATTCTAGTGTAAACTGTCACTAATTTATCTTAAAAGTAACTAAGTTCCCCTAGGTTTACTGCTACCAAAGAAACTTTTGCATAGAAGCCTGTCCATTTCCTAATCTTAATTCCAATGAAAATCCTCGCCATCCGTTTCCTTCTTACCTTCCATCTACGTTTTTATCCTGACCGACCGTAACCTCACAGCCAGGAAAGACTTTGGCTGCCAGAACTGGTGATATGCAGCACAAACCAATGGGCTTTTTAGCACTGTGGAAGGCCTGGAGTGTGGAGTTCACATGCTCATTGACAGTACAATTCTTGCCATCTACAGCCCAGGAACACAGATTCTTTGCTACACCAAAACCACCTAAGAAAAAAAAACAAACCAAAATCAAAAAGCTCAAATATAAGGCACTGCTAAACGCTATTAAATTTGATAATAGCACACACCAAACAGAAGCTCTTTCTTACAACATAATCTTGGTATCAGTGGGACTGTTAAGTAACTGTACTGAAAGCCTTACAATGTCACTGTAACCTGTAAACAATGGGTTTACAATGTTAAAAGTTTAGCTGTGCAGTTTTTTATACCATGCAGGTCATATACAGGCCAGAAAGCTTAACCTTGTTTCAAAAAGTAACACACAGACAAAGAGGAAACCTCACATTCGCCTGCTAGACACTAGAACAGCTGTACCATCTGTCGTGCACTCCATAAGGAAGAAGAACCAGAAGACCACTACTAGCTGAAAGCACAAGTATGGAGTTCATGGGAATAATGCAAACAGTGATTTGACCCTCTATAGTAATGAACTCTCAAGTTTTATTTTGATGCTTAAGCAATTATAGAAGAGCTTTTCTTCTTCCCTAGAACTACTTTTCAAATTAAAAAAAGCCATTAGCACAATAAAAAACCACTGGGGATTTTACATAAAATGGACATTATAACATATGGTATTCTAAGACAAAAAAACTTGTAAATGATAACATAATTTCCTATTAAAATTAGTGCTGATTTGTCTTTCTATAAATTAGTTTTAACAATCCTTGAGATACATTTAATCGTCATTTAATTGTATAAGCAGATTGTATTTTACAGCTCCTTTGTCTGCTGTATTTATAGCCATCAGAATAATCAAAGTAAGGTTATTCCACATGGAATGTGCACAGCATCAACTTTTCTCCAATAAGCATAAGGAAATTTCCACAAGTACTTCAGCAGACATCAAGAAGCTTTGCATTTTTAATATTTTCCCTTTCCCAGTTTGCTCACTTTCAAGTGTTATCTGAAATCTCTGAGGTAAGATTTTAATTTTCAAACTAAATAGGGTTTATTTCCCTCTAACAGTTATTACAGCAATCCCCCCGGGCCTGGGTTATAACAGCATGAAATTAATGTGGAAAACATCTGTGAGCCTCTACTCGCTCCTGATCAGCCCTGACATCAACTACTCACAGTGCAGGCAGAATTGTTTCTCTGTGTTATACACACGCTCCCTCTGCTGGCCTTACAACAGTGTGAAAACTTCAAAATTAACAGGCCCAATCATGAAGGCAGTATTTAACAGTACTGTGAATATTCTGGAAACAGATCTTCAGCAAGTCATGATTTCCTCGTGATGCTCCAGCTTCTTCATTTCTAAAAATGATTACAATTACCTCTGTCTGGAATGAAATTTTGTGGTCTCTAAATGAAAAATTATCCATAAACATGTTTAGTACAACTTGATCAGCAGCTGAGTGGATACATAATTAAAACAGAATGTACTCCCATCTGACATGGAACATCATCTATTTGGAAACCTGCTATTCTGCCAACATTTTCAGAGGCCCTGAAATTAAGGCATTGCCATGTAACTGAGTTCTGACCCTATTTTTGTACACTAGTCAGGGTTCTTGTCCACACATAAGTAGTGAAGTTTTCACAACATTCAGTAAGAAGGAATGGCGGGATGCATAACTTAATACCAAGAGAACACTCTGGCATTTTAACTTAGTGAACTATGAATCAATAAATATATTGAGTTTAAAAAAATCACAATTTTCTTTTGAAAGATGAGCTCAGCTGGTCACAGCATGATGTTAACAACCCCAAGGTTGTGGGCTCAACCCCTGTGTGGGCCATCCACTTAAGAGTTGGACTCAATGATCCTTGTGGGCCTTCCAACACAGCGTATTTTGTGATTTTGTGATACCTACCAGGGAAAATGACAGCATCAAATTCACTAGCTTTAAGTTCAGCCAAATCCTGAATGTTTCCCCTTGCCAACCTGGCACTTTCAACTAACACATTTCTCTTCTCTTCTGCTGGACTTCCTTTTAGGTGATTGACTACATCCCTTTGCTCAATATTGGGGGCAAATATCTTCACCTAGGAAGAGAGATGAAGCAATTTTGTGAATGTAAACAAAACTCATACATATTTGTCACAATAAAGATCATTTAATGAAAACAGATTTTGTCCCTGAAGCCTCTTATCTAAGTTAAGCAAATTCCACAGGATGAATCTAGCACATTAAATATCTAAAGCAACATATGATATATTAGGATGGGTAAACACAGGCATCCTTCCCATCCTATTCCTGCAGCATTTTGACAGGAGAGTATTCTTATGCCAACATCAAGCTTACTGATTTTGCCATGGCAGATAAGGCCAAGGACAAACAGGACACCACAATTTATATCAGCAGCCCAACTGGACATGCAGCTGACTTTGAAGAAAGGTTGCTCTTAACTGTTATGGGATGAAAGTGCTAAAAAGTTTGACATAAAAAA